TTGGCACACCCAATTAGACAACCACCACAACGTATGCCAATTGCTAAGCAACAGGAAGTGGAAAACCAAATTGATAAAATGCTTGAAGAGGGACTCATTGAAGAGTCAAATAGTCCATGGTCTGCGCCAGTAGTTTTAGTTACAAAGAAAGATGGGAGTCTTAGATTTTGTGTGGACTACCGAAAGCTTAATGACGTCACCAAGAAGGACAGCTTCCCTCTCCCGAGAATAGACGATACATTAACAACTCTATCGGGCTCCAAATGGTTTTCCACCTTGGATCTCAAAAGTGGATACTGGCAAGTGGCAATACATGACGATGACAAAGAGAAAACTGCCTTCAGTACCGGAAGCGGGTTATACCAGTTTAATGTCTTTCGGATTGTGTAATGCTCCAGCTACGTTTGAGCGACTGATGCATTTTGTTTTGCGAGGCCTTACATGGAGAACTTGCCTGGTATATTTGGATGATGTCATGATCATGGGAAAGTCGTTCCAAGAACATCTCAATAACCAGAAAGAAGTTTTTGACCGCTTTCGGAATGCCAACTTGAACCTCAATCCAAATAAGTGTTTCCTATTTCAAAAGAAGGTGGAAATCTTAGGTCACGTGGTATCTGAAGATGGCATTTAAGTTATGGAAGGGAAGATAGATGCTATCAGGGATTGGCCAAAGCCACGCGACAAACATGAACTAAGGAGGTTTCTGGGATTATGTTCCTATTATCGAAGATTTGTGGAAGGTTTCGCCAATATAGCTGCTCCGCTTCATCGATTAACGGAAGAAAAATCAACATTTAATTGGACCCAAGAATGCGATTCCGCATTTAGAAAATTGAAAGGAGCATTATGTGCGAGCCCAGTGTTGTCCTATCCTGATCAGAAAGGCATGTTGATTTTGGACACCGATGCAAGTAACACCAGTGTTGGAGCTGTCCTTTCACAAATCCAAAATTCACAAGAACATGTCGTGGAGTACTACAGTAGAACCTTATCAAAGCCGGAACGAAATTATTGTGTCACCAGAAGAGAGTTGCTTGCCATAGTAAAAGCAGTCGACCATTTTCATAAGTATCTCTATGGACGCAAGTTTCTAATTCGAACAGATCACGCAGCTCTAAAATGGCTTTTAGAAATGAAAACTCCTGAAGGACAGCTTGCTAGATGGATTGAGAAATTGCAGCAATACGATTTCCAAATTAAACATCGACCTGGAAACCTGCATAAAAATGCTGACGCTCTGTTCAGACGGCCATGTAAAGAAGATTGCAAGCATTGTCAAAGAATCGATATACATCAGAAAAACACTAGTCCAGTTGTAAGAAGAACGGGCCTGATCGTCGATGACAAATGGACTACCAAACAAATGAGAGAAGATCAGGAGGCAAACCAGGACATCGGGCAAATTCTACATCTTAAAGAAAATGATGAATGTAGGCCAGAATGGAGGGAAGTGTCAAACAAGAGCTTGATTTACAAAGCGTTGTGGGCCCAGTGGAACTCTCTGGCCGTAGAAAATGGTTTGCTCAAAAGAGTCTGGGAAAGTGCCGATGGGAAATCCACTAAGAGCCAACTGGTTATCCCAAAAGACCGAGTGGAAGATGTATTAAAAGAAATACACGACGGAACTTCAGGGGCACATTTCGGCGTTAACAAGACTTTGGATAAAATTCGGGAACGTTTTTACTGGGTTCACTACCATGAAGACGTTAAAAGCTGGTGCCGAAAATGCGACATCTGTGCTACCAGTAAAGGCCCTAAACTAAGATCTCGGGGGCCCATGAAACAGTACAACGTCGGTCTTCCGTTTGAAAGAATAGCGATAGATGTAGCCGGACCGTTCCCAGAGTCAGAGCGTGGTAACAAATGCATCTTAGTTATCATGGATTACTTCAGTAAATGGCCAGAAGTTTTCGCTATTCCCAATCAAGAAGCCATCACTGTTGCCCAGGTGCTAGTGGACGAAGTTTTTAGTCGTCATGGTGTGCCACCAGAGTTACATTCAGACCAGGGACGAAACTTCGAATCTGCCATCTTTAAGAAAATTTGTGAGATCATGGGAATCCGTAAGACCAGGACACCTTTACATCCACACTCTGATGGCATGGTAGAACGATTTAATAAGACCATAGCGGAACACCTAACAAAAGTGGTCGCAAAGAACCAGCGTGATTGGGACAAACACTTGCCTCTGTTTTTAATGGCTTATAGAGCAGCTATTCACGAGTCAACAGGTGAAAGTCCAGCCAGAATCGTCTTTGGAAGAGAACTCAGGTTACCTTGCGATCTGATGTTTGGGATACCTGAAGAAGAACGGAGAGAAATCCGAGATTATGCCGACGAAGTAAGGGCACGACTTCTGGGTATCCATGATTTTGCTCGGGAGCATATTCAGCTAGCCAGTGACCGGATGAAGACCAGATACGACCTGAAAGCCAATTCAGCCGGATTTCAAGAAGGTGATTTAGTGTGGTTGTATAATCCAGGAAGAAAGAAAGGAGTGTCGCCGAAGTTATCTTCAGCATGGGAAGGACCCTACAAAATAATCAAGAGGATCAATGATTTGGTTTATCGAGTTCAACGCAACACCAGGAGTAAGATGAAAGTTGTACATCTGGACAGGTTAACGAAATATCACGGGCGTGATCGGGACGATCAACCTTAAGAGGAGGGCAGTGTAACGATTCGCCAGGCTGTCAAGAATCTCTCGGTATTATCTCTTGAGTATACTCGAATCTAGCGAATAATTCTACTTAATTCGGGAAAATAAGATTATCGTGTGTATTCTAGATTTTACAGGAATAGATTTAGGGATATATAAAGGCGGCTATTGCTTTGTAGTTTAGTTTCAGTTCGACTGTGATACGATTTAAATAGTGATTATAAAGCGTTTAATTGTTGAGTTAGTTATTAAAGTAATTAGTGTCAGAGTGTATTGTTAAGTGGAATAAATTATTGCTGTGTTAATTGGACTTTGATTTTTGGAATAAACGAAACGAACAACGAACCCAAGATTTCTGTCAGGCAATTCCAAAGCCGTGACAGTACTATATCAATATCTATTTTGCTGTATGAGTATAGATTGCGGAAAGCGCTACTTAAAGTTTTGGTCTGTTGCGCAAAAAGCGCTTTACGCTTGTACAATTACTGACAGATCCTTCTGAAGCTGGCGCCCGTGGCAAATGCCACCTTCGCCACGCCCTAGTTACGGCACTTATTTTGTTTTACTAATTAAAATTTTTAAATTCACTTTCATATTCTCTTATTTCTTCACTTCCAATATCTGTCAATAGCTTAAGTTTATCACAATAATTACCTAAATACCTACCTATTTTGGAAAGGAACCAACCAGACAGTATCGAAAACGAAGAGGCGATGAGCGACACGCGCGACCGAAAGACTCAATCTTTTTCTTGTATCTCGAATTTTCGAAGTCAAAACCGATACCACGTTTTAGTTATTACATCTCGGGTGTTACGAGACTTTCATCATGATTATACCGTTTCGGAAGAAAACTAGTGCCCTACACGACACTCAGGGAGCGCTCCTCTGGATCCACGGAGAGAGAACATCCAAGGTGCTTGGGGGTTTAAAGACCGTTTTGTTATTGAGGGTTCATTTATTTCTCTACCAAACCGACCAAACTGAGCTATTGAAGGAAAAAACATTATGTAAAAGCGGGATCAATTTAATACCAGAAGGGATACTACCAAAGAGAGCACTTAACAGCCGAATGTGTGGAAAAAGACCGAAATGGAGGCCACGGAAAGATGGGACGATGAAATGTGACAGGACGGTCGGGAACTGAGGACCGCAACGCGTGGAGGCGGAACATATCAATGTTTAAAAGTAGGTACCTATGTAGATTGCTATGCTAGGGATTAACTACAGTATAAAACCACATTCCAACGTTCTGACATGAATATCACATGTCGTAGACTATTATTAACATGTTAGATAATGTAGATACCTAATATTTTTGAATAAATTATGTTTTCAAAAAACAAGTTTTACGCTATTTTCGAAATGTCAGCATCATCATCAAAGTAACACCCAAAACAAACTTCGGTATCTCACTGTGAATTTATCTGAATGTTAGAAATGGAGAGCAAGATTTTATTCAAAATGTTTTTTTTTTTTTTAATTTTTTAAGTTAGGGAGTTATTTTTTGCACTTCCTTTTTCTGTTTTCCAATATATGAATACACACACTCAAACTTATATGGGAATCACTCAATTTGTAATATTGTCCTTCTATTGAATTCTTATTGTTATAAAATTAGGTTAATGGCTTTTCAATTATTTTCCCATGAAAATTAATTAAAGAAGCCTTTTTTGTTGATTCCCAGCAACTAATTCTTTAGTAAAAAAATTTTCAGCGGAAATATTCGGTGGTTCCATATAAGTTTGAGTGTAGTTCGTGTTTCCACCAGGTTTTGTTTGTCTGTTTGTCTACATATCTAACTTATGTACACTACCGAGTCAAATCTTAAAAACTAACAACCCCATAAAAACCCTCTTCCAATGAGTGATAATACCTACTGAGTTTTTGTTGCATTAGAAAAGTGCACTATCCTTTTGTAGTGTGCGAGTTTGATGATAAAAATAGAATTGATAGAAAAGCTTATCCCAGTCATTCCGAACTTTCAATACCTATTAGTTGCATAACTTTCTAAACCTATTTTTTTTATTAACAGGCAAGCAAATCATTAATTTTCTAGTATTTAAAAAAAAAATCTGTTTTTATTATACTTTCAGGTATATTCTAGTCTTGCTATTGTTAAGGTTGAATCTTCAATTAAAAACCCGTCAAAACTATCGCTCATATCATTTAAAAAGCAATAAAAGTTCAAATTGTTTTCTTAACACACAAATGAAATATCGATATCAGCTTTTGGCCAAAGGCTACTTGAAGATAATTCACCTAAAATGAGCTTTTCATTATGCAATCCGATGAGCGGCATCGGGCCGAAACATCCTTGAACAAAGCTAAACGGTGGTGGGTGACCAAAGATGCTTTAGTCTTCATTTTTTCTGCTGAGGTCCAGACAGGTGGGCGATTTATCATCTCTTGTGTGCCATAATTTTGCCCGAACTACGATAGACAGCATGGCTAGGTTTATTCGGTTATTCGTGGTTGTAGCTACCGTTTTTGTTGGAGGTAAGTAAACCAATTCAAATATAAACTATTTTATTATAATAATACTGGATTTTCCAAAGTGCTTCCTTTTTATATATTTTTTAATTTTGCCTATGTTCATGAAAGCTCTTATGTAAATTATCTGATGGCTATATTTTTAAAGGTCGAATCTATTTTTATTCTTATCTAAGTACTATATTTTTTTAAAATTGAAACCCTATATAGCTACATTTTTGATACAAATTATTTTTAATTGCATCCTACCGATTTTGCAAATGATCTTAACCTTCATCTTATGGAAATTAGTTATCTGTTGTTTCAATTTTCTTAAAATATTCTGCAAAAAACCCAATAATTACCTGTGTAGAATTTTTTAAAACGCCATTATTCATTTTGTTAGGTATCTAGTGAAACTTTGCACATTTCATTTATATTTTTATATGAAAAGAATTTCCAAACTAAAACAGTAGGTATAGTATTTTGATGCACTCTTTCATATCTTCGACAAAAAATATAATTGTGGTTCAAAAAAGTTAGACCTAGTATAATAATCGATCCAAGATTCTAGAGGATATTTAGAAACCTTTATGATGCACTTTAGAAGATGCTATGCACCTATTGTAATATTAGATAGGTATAGTACCTATATAATTAAACCGTTATTGGAAAGACAAATGCTATATAATAGATAAGTAGGTACATATTATTTTTAACCTTTGCCATTTTTCTAAATTGGATATATATCTTCTTTCTATCAATAACCGTTCACTTCAATAAATAAATCAGATAGTTGACCTATGAAACATGAAGAATTTCTACACATATAAGCACAAAATGGCAATTTTAGTTTTATTCAGGTGTACGCACCAGGAAAACTGATTGAATTGTTCAAATAATATTTGATTATTGTTAGTATCATAAAATTCAAAGTACCTAATACAACTGATGGTGAAAGTTATCACATAAACTAGCAAAAAATCCATTGCCCAATAACTAATTAGGCAATAATCTTATAGGTAGTATCTCATATGGGTCCACTGCAAACTGAAGATGAGGTAACCAGAAAAGTATATTCGCTTTTCGGTCAATTAAATTATGCTATAATGCCTGATTTAATGTCAAGGTCTTTTCCACCGGATTTTTTTTTAAAAAGCTGATTCTTTTCCAAATTTTGAAAAACCAAACGTGTCATACGTGAATTTGAAGGTTGTTTAGATTGAAGCTCTTGTATCGGTCACTTGCAATTATCTGAAAGTTATCAAGTAAATACTACAGTACTTGTACTTTTGATGCATTGCTGAATCCTTCGTTGTATTTTAAAACACTCAAGAATTATACAGTACCTAACCAGTAGTAAAAATATAACTTAAATTATTATCGTTGTACGTGATTTAAAGTTGAATAGTCGGATTTGTATAAATACATTTCAATGCATATTATTCATTCAAATGATTGGAACATAATCATTCACGCACATTATTCGCAGACAATATTGTGATGAATATTTGATATATGGATTCTGCTCGGGACAATATATTCACCAGAATGTGGTCATCTCTAAAAATGTAGTCATCAATCTTGGCCTAATTGAAAAATTGCTTTATTTTCAAACCTAAGTTTTTAAAAATTAAACAAATAAAATTGTCACACTTCCTACTTTAGTTTATCCGAAGTAGGTCTTTGGCCCAAAAATAAATTATTGTAGGCTTAGCAACAATTTGATAAATACGAAAACTAAATTGGAAATTGCGTCTTAAATAAAATTATAAAATGTATGTTACAATTATTGTAACAAATTTAACGTTTTACAATATAAATAACTAATGACTTTGTTTATTTTTTCAGTATACTGTCAATTTAACAATGGATTTAACAACAATAACAATTACAATCAAAGACGGCAGCAAAATAACAACTATCAACCACGACAAGTGCAAAGTTTAAGTGCTAGTTGTCCAGAAGCCAATGGAACTTTCCCTACTAGAACTTGTGATGGGTTAGTACCAAATTTCTATATTCAATTTGAAGCAAAATACATAAAAAAGCAACTTATTACACTACTGATTTACTTAACATATCAAACTTAAGATTGTTTGTTGACTCTGGAAAATTTCTAAATTATTATAGTCGGGGCGGTTGATCAAAAAAATGGGCAGAATCTTGCAAATTGTGATAAAAGCATGAAATTTCGTACAGATGATTTTTTTACAATTATAAGCTATTTGACTCGCATGACCCCCTTTTCGGACCCATAGGGCAAGATGGCTTTCGGACCCATAGAGCAAGATGGCGCCCATTCGCAAAATGGCGGACCAAGAAATTATAATTTTTAATTGCGGATCGATTTTATCAAAATTAGGGTCGTTTTCGAATAATTTTGGATCAAAAAATACAACAGAACATGTTTTTTGTATTACAATATAATCTTATTAACTCAGAAAAGATTGTTCTTTTAATTTTTTTGAGGAATTAACTATAGTAATATTCAAAGTATGTAAAAAAACAAAATGTAGGCATCAAAAACTGTTTTTCTACGAGCGTGCGGAAAAGTGCACTTTTCCGCATGCATTTTAGTTTAGAAAGTTTCACTTTTCCGCACTAGTGCGGAAAAGTGACAGATGTCACTTTTCAAATTATAAGCTGACACACGAATTATTGAAACAAAAATGTTAATTATTAACTTATTTCGGTTTAAACTTAACTTTTCTTGTTAAGTTACAAACTAATGGTTACTTTATGCCTAAAAATTTCGGAAATTTCATAGTTCCTACATCAAACGTACAAACTATTGTTAAAAGTTCTCGATTTTATTGTCTTCAGAATAAGACATATTATTTTAGAATTAGTTTTTTTTTTTATTATTAATGCAATACATTTTCAATACATTTTATTTGTAAGAGAAGAAGAAAAAATTACTCGATTTGTTTTAAATATCAAGTGTTGCAAAAGAGATGTTGTTAAATATTCGTTTTAAAATTTACATTAATTAGGTAGGTATACGTTCCTTCTATCTCGTAGAAAAAATAGTGTTCCTAACTCGTGCGGAAAGTCTCTTTTCCTCACTTGATTGCTTGCCGAACGACGCGTAGCAGCGTTCGGCAAACAGCAATCGCGTGCGGAAAAGTGGTACTTTCCGCACTTGTTAGGAAATATACTATTTCATATGAACGTGCGGAAAAAGATATTTTTCCGCACTAGTGTGGAATTTTTTTTCGCACGTCGTCGCGTCGTGTTGACCTACGATATACATCAGCAATAAATTTGCAATTTGCTGAAAATTGTACATTCACCATTAAAATAGTTAAAAATAAATAAAAAATGTTGTTAATTGCCTAGTAGGAAAAATTGTGTTCCTAACATTTGCGGAATAAAGATACTTTCCGCACTTATTAGGAAAATAACTAGGTATTTCATTAGAAACAGTTATTTATGCAACAAGTGTGTAAAGTGAACCTTTTTTCACGAATGTGAATTTTGACGCACGAGCCGAAGGCGAGTGCGACAATCACATGAGTGAAAAAAGGAGCTTTACGCACGTATTGCATACAAATTTTTTTCTACTACCAATCAAATATGTTCAAAAAATAGATTTAGACAAATACTTCACGCACTAGTGCGTGAAGTATTTTCACTTTACGCACTAGTGTGTGAAGTAATTTACCAAAAAATTAGTAAATTGACAGTTGTCAACATCTGTCATTGACATTCCTTTACGCACTAGTGTGTGAAGTGAGTTACTTTACGCACTAGTGCTTGAAGTGGAATTTTACATCTTCTGAATAGTGCGTAAAGTGAGTACTTTACGCACGGTAGTAGAAAAAATATTTTTTTAAAAATTAATCTATAGATAATTAATTTTTAGTTCGCTAAATTCCACATCCTTCCTGCACCCCTACCGTACACCAATCCTCTTCCTGCCGCCGATCACTCGGTACATTATACATAGTAATAGGTGTAAAAATACATTCTGTTCATAAAATGTCTAAACACAGGTCATAAAAATTTGAAATCCGATTATACAGGGTGTCCCAGCCGAGAGTGAACCATATTTCAAATCCTTATAATTTTTAAGCCAGGTGTGCCAGCTACCTGCGGTTTGCACTTGGCCTAAGGTTTTTTTTAGTTAGTTGCAAATTTTTCTGAAACTTGTACACTCCACTATTTCTAATAAGACGCCCTCCTGTATATCACAATATCACAACGTCAAAATAAGAATCGTGTTGAAGGTATCCATGCACCAATAAACTTCATCCTTGAAGCTTAAAGTTTTAGCCGTAAAAAATTGAAATCGAAATCCTGGTACTTATTTTTGCAAACGCATGTAACTACATGTTGGAGTGTATCTTATATGAGATCTATTTTCAGCAGGATGGTGCCCCACCTCATTATTCATTATTCTTTAATATCAAAAGAATCACTAGATATGATATTTGAGGAAAGATCGATATAGGAATAGTTGGTTCTATAGAATGGGCACCTTACTCTCCTGACTTGAAAGTTCCAGACTTTTTTCTCTGAGGTTATATCAAGGAGAGTTTGCCAAATAGCCTGGAAGATCTTAAGCGGAGCATTCGTAATGTCATTGAAACGATTCCTCAGGAAATGTTACATAATTCCTTCAACCATTTACTGATTCGACTCCAGCTCTTTTTACAGTTTTATCTAGATTATTACCTTCCTATCAGACAAAGATAATTTCGAAGCTTTGTGAATATGCTAATAAAAAATGCTTTTGCAAAAACACCCAGGATTTCGACTTAAAATTTTTACGGCTGAAACTTTAAGTTTCAAGGACGATGTTTTTTGGTACATGGATTCCTTGAACATGATTCGTTTTTTTGAAATTGTAATATACAGGGTGTTCCATTGAAAATAGTGGAGAATTTCGATGTTGAAAAACTGCATTTTCTTTACTGGCTTGGTATAAGTATCAAAAAAATGAGCAACTAACCAAAAAAAACTTTAGGCTAAGAGAAGTCGTATGGCGCAAACCGCAGGTGGCTAGCATACTTGGTTCAAAAGTTATGAGCATTTGAAATGGGTCACTCTCGGCTGGGACACCCTGTATTATTCAAATTTCAATCACTTATTTATATATTTTCTTACATTTTCCGAACAAAAATTATTCGAAAACGACCCCAATCTTGCAAAATCGATTCACAATTACCAATTTTAACCTCTTGATAGCCGCCATTTTGCAAATGGTCGCCATCTTGCTTCTATGGGTCCGACAAGGGGGTCATGCGGGTCAAATCGCTTATAATTGTAAAAAAAATCATCTGTACCAAATTTCATGCTTTTATCACAATTTGCAAGATTATTCGACTAACCGCCCCGACTATTAGTGTTGTCTTTTTAATGCAGATACATCCAATGTACAAATGGAGTAGCAGAAGAAAAATTATGCCCAGATGGTTTACTTTTCAACGCCCAAAATGGACCTCATGGATATCCATGCCAGTACCCTCTTGAAGTGGATTGTACCGGAAGAGAACAAACACGTAAGACATTTTCTCCAATTAATTTTGCAATAATTCTAATTTAAGTTTTTTCTACTAGAACCTGCTCAGGCTACTGACGAGTGCCCCCATCAGTTTGGTTACTTCAAAATTGGGGACCAGAACAATTGTGGGAAATTTAAAAATTGCGTAGACGGTCGCGGATTCGAGTTCGATTGTCCTGAAGGTTTGGCCTGGAACAGTGAAACTTACAGGTGCGACTGGCCCGATCAAGTATCCGATTGTGACGCAGAAGGTAAATTGTTGTTAGGAATATGTTAGAATTATCACATTTATTACAGCAACGTTAATTCGCTTGGTTCGATGAAAAATAACCATTGCAGCCATGAGGCTCATTTTGGTTGAATCATCAATCAGTTTTAGGGTATCAGCTTCATACATTAACGCCGATAGATGTTTTGCCTCACATGTTCGAATACTTTCACATACTCACATGTTTACGAGTGAATGCTTATGATGATGAATTTGGCATTAATAAAAAACAAATAAAGGTTACAAGGCAACAAAACAAATCCACACGATGATTGAAAAATCTTTCTGCGAGTGTTAAGAGTACCCCCACTTCTTGGAGATAGTTCTCCTCTGAGGTACCTATAAGGCGCTGCAGTAGCAGACGAAGTCGGGCCATTGCCGATATGCGTTTGTTCCCCTCCTTCAGTGAGGCCTTTTCAAATGAGTTTAGTATGTATGGATGGTGAGACCTAACTAGGTACCTACTTAACTACTTCATTGGTCCAGCGCATATCATCGTTGTCAATATTTATTTATAGCAGTAGACAAACTGTATTGTCTCCTTTGGAATACGGTATCTTGGCTCTTCATTGACAGATGATGCCAATTTCTGCCTGAAATCTCTGACTGGTTCATTCAGTGTTTTTTTGTTCGGAGTTAGTATGGCATAATCATCTACAGAGATTGCATTCTTTGTGTCTGCACTCGAACGTTATAAAATATATCCTAATATTCGACCAGCTAAAAACCTTTGGATCATTTGCATATCTTTGCTGGGTTTCATCTTGTGTATCAGCCCATTGTTCCACACTCGCTGGAGGGCTCATTATTCTACATTCAGCAGAATACCCTTTTTTTATGCTGAGTGATTCAGTAGATTCCATTCCATTTCCATCCATTTTCAGCCGTTTTCTATCCTTAGGATATAGGCTTCTTACAAATTTGACCATTGTTTTCGGTTTTGCGCAACTCGGTACCAATTTAAACCTGCAACCTTCTTTATCTCGTCGTACCATCTTTGTTGAAGTCTTCCAACACTTCTCCTCTCTTCCCAAGTTCTCCATCTAGTGATATACCCGCTCCAGTTTTCTGTATGTCTGGCCACGTGTCCTGCCCATTGCCATTTTAGGGAACCAATTCTTTTTATTATGTCGGAGACTTTGGTTCTTTCCCTTATCCATGTATTTGTTTTGTGGTCTCTCAGGGAAATTCCTAAAATTCGTTTTTCAATGGCTCCCTGATGTACTTCCAATTTGTGTTTAATTTTTCTGGTTATCACCCAGGTCTCGCAACCATACATGACAACAGGCAGTATACACTCGTTATAGACTTTTGATTTCAAAGTCATTGGAATATTCATGCTGAAGATGTACTTTAATTTGCCGTAAGCCGCCCATCCCAGTCTAATTCTCCTATCAATTTCCATTTCTTGATTTTGTTTGCCCGGTGACCGGTGTTATAGCTTGGCCAAGGTATCTGTATGTTTCTGTCTTTTTTATTATGCTGTCATGGATCGGTATTGTTTCGTCTGCATCTGGTGAATTTGTAATAAACTGGGTCTTTGTGTGGTTCATGTGTAATCCTACTTTTGCCGCCGCATGCTGTAGTTCTTCCAACATATCTATCAACTCCTATTTGTCTTTTGCGAATAGTACAATATCGTCGGCAAATCTTAGATTGTGCAGGCGTTCACCATGTATGTTCAATCCTTTGTTTTCCCATTATAGCTTTTTAAAAATATCCTCGAGCACTAAAGTGAATAGTTTTGGAGATATTACGTCCCGTCCCCTTGCCGAACTCCTCTTTTGGCGTTTATTCTGTCAGATGATTCATGAAGTCTTATCGACATTGAAGAAAAGGCAGATTTAGTGTAAAGGTGTAAATTTCTTTATTGAGTATTAACCGAGCGCTTTCGGCCTAGTGAAGGGCCATCATCAGGGTCGGTCCTGAAAACATTTTGTTCTTATATATGTAAAACAGTTATTTTAGACTTACTCGTCAGGTACGTATAGTGGAGACAGAGTTACAGAACAAAGGCATGTTTTTGGTGTAGAAAGCCAAATTAATAAAATAAAAGACACACAACACAAGTAAAGGTGACAAACTAACTAACATCCAGGAGCGCTCAGCAACAACCAACTCCAAAATACATTTAGGCTTTCTCCAAAAATCTTTCAGTGCTGATTCATCAGTGGTTTTCCTAATATTTTTTGATTTTTGATTTTCTTTTTAATTTAGATTTTTGGATTTTTGGAAAAAATGCCCTGTCATGAAAACAATGAAAACAATATAGGTTGACATAAGCATATGGTTTGACTTTGACAAATAGTAAAAATGACATAACGAAACCAGTGCGGTACCAAACTGGCAACGATGCAGACTAAAGTGTGTTACTGTGGCGCCATCTATGGGTGACCTAAGTTGACTACCTGATCAGAAAACGTGACAAATTACAGCGAAAACTGCTTTCTATGAGAGACAATTAATAAAATTTACCAAAAAACACTTCAAGTTTATTTATTCTCACCATCTCACCTCCCTCTCTCGGCTCTCACCTGAAAATCGGCGGGAAACAAAAAACAAAAACAAGAGTGTAGCTTAGGGGTTGGACCATCCGAGCTAAGGGGATGAAGCACCCCAACGGTCCCGCACAACAGCCTACTGCTCGACCAAACCAGGAGAAAACCCAAAGCCTTCCTTATATCACACCACAAAAAGTGGAGTATACATCAAGCTCAATTGTAATGATTGCAATTGCACTTACATTGGCAAAACTACCCGAGCCCTGAACACTAGAATCAAGGAACACATAAGCAGACCAAGCAAGTCAGTCTTCGGACATCACATACAATTCTCCAAACACAACTTTTCGCCAAGTTCGAACAGCAAAATAGTCCATGAAATGAGAAATGGTACACCCGCAGAATAGATTTCTTGGAGGACTTGGAAATTAAGAGGGAGTCTGCAGGAAACCCAAACTGTCTGAATTTGAAGATGAATATCAATCAGTGGTGCACCCAGGGGGGTGCTATCGGGCCAGGGCCCCCCCCAGGCCAACCCTCCAAAACTGTATTTTTACAGTCTGGTAACATTTCGTCCCCTTGCTTAAGTATAAGAGATAGGATTCGTGGGTAAAAGGATTTTTTTTACGCTTAAAAAATATATCAACATCAAGGCGTGGCACCCTGACACCTCAATTTTTTTTTTAGATTTCCAGTCACAAGCCACAACCTATGTAGGGCCCCCCCCAAAAATATTTTTTGGGTGCGCCACTGATATCAATAATGACAAGAACCCTATTTTCAATCTCTTCACTTAGTACATTGAAATTCGGGGCTTCTGTACAGGCTTTTCTAGTTGGAACTCTGAGGTCGATTGTTCCCTGAACTGACGGTTTCCTTAGTGAACCTGTCATTTTGGCGAATGCGCCGCCGCTGGGTTTTCTCCTGGTTTGGTCGTGCAGTAGGCTGTTGTGCGGGACCGTTGGGGTGCTTCATCCCCTTAGCTCGGATGGTCCAACCCCTAAGCTACACTCTTGTTTTTGTTTTTTGTTTCCCGCCGATTTTCAGGTGAGAGCCGAGAGAGGGAGGTGAGATGGTGAGAATAAATAAACTTGAAGTGTTTTTTGGTAAATTTTATTAATTGTCTCTCATAGACAGCAGTTTTCGCTGTAATTTGTCACGTTTTCTGATCAGGTAGTCAACTTAGGTCACCCATAGATGGCGCCACAGTAACACACTTTAGTCTGCATCGTTGCCAGTTTGGTACCGCACTGGTTTCGTTATGTCATTTTTACTATTTGCCAAGTCAAACCATATGCTTATGTCAACCTATATTGTTTTCATTGTTTTCATGACAGGGCACTTTTTCCAAAAATCCAAAAATCTAAATTAAAAAGAAAATCAAAAATCAAAAAATATTAGGAAAACCACTGCTGAATCAGCACTGAAAGATTTTTGGAAAAAGCCTAAATGTATTTTGGAGTTGGTTGTTGCTGAGCGCTCCTGGATGTTAGTTAGTTTGTCACCTTTACTTGTGTTGTGTGTCTTTTATTTTATTAATTTGGCTTTCTACACCGAAAACATGCCTTTGTTCTGTAACTCTGTCTTCACTATACGTACCTGAAGAGTAAGTCTAAAATAACTTTTTTACATATATAAGAACAAAATGTTTTCAGGACCGACCCTGATGATGGCCCTTCACTAGGCCGAAAGCGCTCGGTTAATACTCAATAAAGAAATTTACACCTTTACACTAAATCTGCCTTTTCTTCAACTCCTCTGGTGTACTTCCAAACCCCCTTCTCGATCTTATCGACATTGTCGAAGTCCTATAGATGTTTTCAATGAGGTTTATATAACGTTGATCCACTCTGGCATTTCTCAAGGATTTTATTATTGCCCAGATTTCTACTGTGTCGAAAGGCTTCCCGGAAATCGACAAAAGCCATCCATAGGTTTATATTATATTCTGAAGCTTTCTCGATCATCTGCCTTACTGTGTGTAGATGTTCTGTCGTGCTATAATGGCTTCGGAATCCAGCCTGTTCCTTTAGTTGGTAAACTTCGAGTTTTCGCTCTAATCTGTTGGTGATTATTCTGGTGAATAATTTATATATTTGTGATAGTAAGCTTATCGGCCGGTAGTTTTCGAGATCAGTCGGGTCACCTTTCTTGTAGATCAGAACAACTACAGAATTCTTTAGTGTTAGAAGGCTAGTGTACAGTCAGCACTCACAGTTCCGGGACAGCTGGCACTGGGACGCGGGCAAAGTTGTAATTTTAAGAAGCATCTGAACTGTTTTCTCAAAGCTAAAAATTTATATAAATTTTGCACATTATCCGTGTGAAGGTCACAGTAAACGTATGTAAATCGTCAGACGTGTAGTTCGTTGCAAAAAAGGGGTCAGACGTCCTCAAAGATTTTATTTTATGGCATTTTCTTTAGATATATTTGTCAAATACCTGCAAAAATATATTTTGACAGGACACTGAAGAAAATGCC